AGTAGTCCTTGTCGATGATGCAGTGAGGCAAATCACCGTACGCGTTGATGTGTGACACCGTATTCAGGTCGATATACAGGCGGTTGATGCTCTTGTCCCAGACTACCGACGCTTCGTATAGTGCGTTACCGGGAGTGGTGACTAAGTTCACCTGGTAATAGAGACGGGAAATGGCCGTGTTCACATCGCTCAAATCCGGTACGAATCCGTCCGCATCTTTAGCCTGTTTGTACTTAATTACCGCGTCGTTAGCCGACAACAGGAAAGCCTTGACGATTGACCTCAACCGCAGCTTCGAGCACAACTGCCTCTCCGATGCAGTTACCTTGTTCAGGGCGGCGACGATCGCATTCGCTATGTATTTCACCTCCGAGACGGTGGTTGGCAGAGTTTGCCAAGAAAGACACGCACACCAGTGCGGTTCGATACCGGCGTCGCTGCACGTCCTCTCTAAAGGCACCTCGTCGAACAACGAAATCGCCCGTTCGGACAGATTGCCTTTCTTAGGTGTCCTGAAGCGAAGGACACTGGTCAGCGTCTCATGAATGTCGAACGGAGTGGTGAGACGTCGCGCGTTCAAACGCAGGTTGCGCATCGCCTCCGGATAGCGCTTCCCGAACCACGGTGGTAGGTAAATGCTGAAGAACGGCAAGCGTTCCTCTAACTTTCCTTGTTCGGTGGCCCGCAATTCCGCAAATCGGTGGCCGTGATCAGACATGAAAATCAGCATCGTGTTATTCAGATGACCGTTGTCTATTAAAAAATAGCCATCTCAGCACTGCGTACAATCCCGCAATGTTATAAATTAACAGAAAAGACGGCTTACAAACCCCCCCCCCGGTGAAATCTTCATACAGACAGATTTGAGTGCCTGAAACGGTGTTCATTCTCCAAATATAATAGTAACATTTTAAGATACCAATCGAAGATAGTCAATCAAAGACCGACAGATAGCAAGAGATACATAACTAGAGCAAGGTACATATATGCTGTTGCCATAATAAAACTGCATTAAAGATTTATAATGCCAGAATCAGAACATGTTTTAAAACGTTCCTCTGACGTTAAAAAAATCTGAATTTGCTCGATGTTACAGTCTTCTTCCAATTTGCGTCTATTATCTCTGATTCGTGGTTTTGTACTGGTGTCACCAGTATTTCGTTTGTTACTGATTTACCTTCGTTAGCTACAAGTGTAGTCGTGCAATTATGTTTCTGTTTCTTTCTATTTTCTGATAGAAAAGTGGAATTATTTGCTGATCCCACTCAAGCAGCAAACTTTCATTCATTCATAAAGTTAAAGCGTTCTAACGAAATAATATTCGAAAACAAAGCAAATAAGATAAATGAAAAGGAACGTATAAGATACTGAAAGATGAGACGGAACAAACGAGCAACAAAGAAAATCAAAACATGAACATCAGTCGTAAGAATTTGTCAGATATTTGAAACTAACTTACTGAGGATGAGATTCCAACTATGGGAAGATATTTGCAACTTAGTTCGTCACTGACGAAAGCTGCACCAGGTTTTGCTGATGGCAGTCAGTTATCACAACCTAGGATCTTCCTGCCTCTGCCATCAATTGTGCGTAAGCTCCTATTGCATGTTAATGTTCGAAAGCTCATGTAGTGCTTGAAACGTGATGAAAGCAATCTTTTCATCATTAACACATAAATCATGTAATACCTCAACAACAGGTAAAAAGCCGTTTTAAGTAAGTCATCCGACCACGTGTTCTCCACACAAGATGTTGTGCAGGATGATACCTTTCCAGCAGAATACCTTGAACACGACATGTGCATTATTTATATAACGGCGGAGGGTGGAATAAACAAATATTAAATGGTAAAGCATCAGTTTCTGTTATGTGGAAAGAAAAGTTTCAAGACGTTGGAATGTCGATCTTCCTGACACTTTCATGACGGCTCCATTTCTGTCGCTCTTCTCTTCATGACATTAAGGTGGGGTACAGCAGCCATTTGACAGGTGTAGCACAGTCATCTGTTTCCAATCCATAGAGTGGTACTCATTTATCAACCTCATAAGGAAGAAAGACGAATGAACGCGACCGGGGCTTGAACCCGGAACTCTCGGTTCTGAGTCTGACACTTCATCGACTGAGCAATCCCAGTCTGAAGCCACGTGTGGTAAATTCGTACCTCAAGGAAATCTGTTGTTAAGACAATGATGGCTCCTGTGCCGAATCGAATCCGACACCTCTAGAGTTATAAGCCGGTCCCTTAGACGCTGTGCCAGTACGTGACGAGTGTTATAAAAATGGAAATGGCGCAGACCATAACTACGATCGAACCGATGATCATAAAAAACAAAAAGCTCATAACCATACTTTTTAATACGTATAGAAGATTTTTGATTTCGACTTCAGATATGGAAGAGCGGCTGCAGTAAAATTTGGTTCTTGTACGCAGGTTGTTAATAATGTTAGTGAAATATGACCGAGGAATGGCAGTATAAAGCAACTAAAACTCTGTTCATCACGAGAAACTGAAAGACGTAGACACATTTTAATTTTTTTTAATCATTATACCTAAATGTTGTCAACGAGTTTCAGCAACGATTCGTCAGTGTTAATTATTCCGATATTTTCTGTGTCAGTCAACAGTGACTCAGGTATTTTAGAGCTTAGCATCAGGCTCTGTACAAACTACATAAGTTCACCTAAGGCTAGCTGGAATTAGACATTTACTTGTTCAAGTGTTACGTTAACAAGAGAAAGATAATTAACTGACGTGCCGCAAAATTGTTAAAACGGCAAAAAACAGCGGTTCGACAGGTCAGTTCGATTGTCTGGGATGCAGAGCGAATGTAACTTTCTTCTTCCTTCGTAATGTGATTAGGGAGGTAACCAGCGACTAGCAAGTCCATTCGGGGGGGGAGGGGTCTGTGGTCGGGTTGGAGATTAGGTCTCTATTATGAACAGCCACAGCGTCCCACTCTGCTCTTCATTGTTCCTTGAGACTAAGATGCGGCGTCGTCGCTCATGCCCATGGTGGGTGGCGTGATTTCAAGCACTGTGCTGATTGGTGTTGGAGGATACGATGGACGGGAAGCTGGCGATTTTCATCAATGTTCTCTCTCCTCGCCCCTTCGGAGGTGAGGAGATTCAATATGCGCCAGAATCGGTAACCACTGTATTTGGGTTGGCTTCAGGGCTCCTGTTACTATTCACATCGCTTCATTGAGCTGCGTGTCTAATTTGCTCGTGTGGCAGCTGTGGCACCAAACAGGGGAACAGTACTCGCTACAGAATACACAAGCGCCAGGGCCGCAGTACGCAGCACGCGGGCACCTGCTCCTCAAGAGGTGCCGGCAAGTTTCCGTAACAAGTTATTTTCGTCTTGATCTTCTGCTGCCTTTTCAACATGTGGCTCAAGCGTGAAGATCCGATCAAGAGTGATGCCGCAATATTTTGGCGTTGTTTCGTGCTGCACGCGTTGACCACATAACTCAACTGTGAGTTTCTCCTTGAACAGTCCA